CCTCTCCACTCAGCACTTCCTGCCCTGCTTTCCCACAGCCCTGCGTCACCCTCCCCAGCGCTGTGATGGGAACACTCTCGCCTGTCAGTGGCAGCGGAAAATATCTCTGAGCAAGCAGCCGCGGGGATGCCCCAAGGCTGCCCCAGGGGCAGGCCCAGGTCACCACTGAGCTCCAGTCTAATCGGCAGCCCAACCCCCGCTCCGGCCCGCTCCCCGCACCCTGGGAAAGAGATGGTGGGCAGCAGCGGTGTGGGGTGAACCCAGGGTGCCAAACTCGCTGCGTAGCCGGGGCGTGGCCCCCTCCCGAGGCCTCCTGTCCCCCTCTGGACACCACACATGGAGTCTGGTCACCCCTTTCCTGCCAGGGAGGCCTTTGAGGCGCCAGGCGAGCACGCCTTTTCAGAGCAGTCAGAGCTTGGTGGTGACCAGGACCCCCCGGGTTCAAATCCTTGCTCTGTCTCTTGCCTCAGCGCTGCGTCGGGACAGTCACCCTGTGCCTTCACCTTGTCATCTGAGAAATGGGTGGGCTGACCCCCACGCTGCTCACGGCATTGTTCAGAAGGTGAAGTGACTTCACATCCGCGCTTGTTAGAACAGAGCCCGGGCGAAGCCCCCACTCTCTGCAGGAGGGAGGACGTTTCCGGGGCCCCACAGCCACCCCCCTCACTGCCCATGGATAAAGCCCCAATGTGTAAGCAGCAGCTGCTCATCCACAAAACCAATTCCTCTCTCTTGCAAGACTATCTCCCACCTACTTCCAAAGCCCGCTGAGCCCTGGCTGAGCCCCCTTGTTAATTCCCCACACACTCTACTCTCCTTCAAGCTCGGAGACTCCAGATCTCCTCACCTGGCACTGTGAAGCTTTGTGCCAACATGGCTCTGATGGCTGGACTTGGCGTTTATTAGTCTCGCTCCTTTGTGCCGAGTCTAGCACAGTGCTTGGCTCACAGTGCTTGGCTCACAGCACTACAGATGCCTGTGACAGAGGTAGCTTGGGAGTGGGAGTGGCAGGAAGAAATCCACCTCTCTTGGAAGGGCTCAGGGGGCTCCCTGAAGTGGTGAGGCCTGAGTGGTCCCCAGGAAGTGGAGGAGTCTGGAAGGAGATTGCTAGGGTGGTGGGCCTACCTCAAACTCGGGACCAGCAGGTGCTAAGCAAGTGAGTCAACTGTGGTGCTTGCCTTCACCCCCACACACTGCCCCAGCCCAGCCCAGCCTTTCACTGGTGCAGGGAGGTGTACGAAGCCCCAGCCACAAGCCACGTCCCATGTGACGCCTGAAACCTCAGAATATCCGGGCCAGGAAAGCATTTAGAGGTCATCCAATCTGAATGCCCAGCGCGTACATGGGGAAACTGAGGCATGAGAGCGAAAGGGACCCGCCTGAGGTCCCTCGAGTCATGGGCCATCAACAGCAGGGCCTTGGGCTGTTGTCCCCAAAATGCAGGGAGTCCCCGGCAGTTTAGGGGCCCTGAGTCAGACTGCCCCGGAGAGACTCAGAGGCATCCACGGGCGGGTGGCGGGGAGGGGTGTGGGCTGCGCTTTTAACTGCTTGCCCGGAAGCGTAGAGTGGGATTTCTCGTTTCTTCCCCTTTGTTATATTTCGCTGACTTGACCGGGCTGTCTCTGGGGCCACCCTGCAGATACGAAGCGCCAAGGGCCCTGAGCTCGGGTGCTGGCTCTACCAACCGTCCACCGGTGTCTTCACCCTCCGGACCCTAATCTGCAAATGTGAACAGAACACCTGCCACCGCGTCCTCTTCAGGTGATGGTGTGTGTGTGGGGGGGGCGGGGCAGGGTGTTTCCAAGTGCCTGGCAGTGTCGGGATCTGATTGTTAGCGTCCTTACCACCTGTCACTGTGCTTCTTGACCAGATGTTGTCCAGATGTGAATAATGGGGAGGCCACTGGCAGGTCCCTCATCCCAGTCACGGACTGCTTGTACCAGACTTTTCTGGCAGCCATTAGGACTTGCTTGGAGAGAACAAAAATACGGAGAAGATACGGAGGGAAAAGGACAAACGCAGCTCAAGAAGTTGGCAACCTGACGGCTTGGAAGTCCTTCCCCTTCTCCCTTTTCTCTTACCCCCACTGGCCTGCTGTCCCCCTTTGCTTTCCATGCTGCCCCCGCCAGCCTCTCCGGTTCCCCAGGCTGCCAGGTCGCCAGCTGCTGAGCTGCCCGTTCCTGCAACCTGACCCAGGCCAGCCTGCACCCGCTTCATGCCTTCCACCCTGCCATCTGCGCCCTCCCTGCCCTGTCTCCCAGGAGCCAAACTCTATCCGCCCAGGGCGTGTCTCACTATGGCTTCTGGCCCATCAGTCCACCTCTGCCCGGCATAAGGCAGCCCTTTACTGGCTCGCTACCAGCTGGTGACTGTCATCGGGCATGGTGGTGACAGCTGCGTTTCCAGACCGTGCCTGCCCGCAGGGGCCTCTCACCTTTCCGGTAGCCGTTATCACAGGCCCAGTTTTCCTCCCTGGAAAACTGGAGTCTGGATAAAGAGCCTCGACTGTGGAAATAAGCCGAGGGATTATCTGATCCAGAGCTGGCAACAAGCGACCACTCGGAAATCACTCGGGACCTGCCTACCGAATCTAAAGCTGCACCCCAAGCTTTGCAAGACCAACTGTCATCAGTTGGCATGTCTGCCACGCGTGTGCAAACCATTGGCTGTGCTGGCTGTAACTTTACGAATACCAGAGATTGCCACCCAGGATCTGGTCCAACGTTTCAGAGTCAAGGGCACTGGTGAAGAAAGTGTGTGTGTGTATGTGTGTGTGTGTGAGGGTGTGTGTGTGAGGGTGTGTGTGAGGGTGTGTGTGTGAGAGGGTGTGTGTGTGTGAGGGTGTGTGTGTGTGTGAGGGTGTGTGTGTGTGTGTGTGAGGGTGTGTGTGTGTGAGGGTGTGTGTGAGGGTGTGTGTGTGTGAGGGTGTCTGAGTGTGTGTGTGTGTGTGAGGGGGTGTGTGTAAGAGAGAGAGAGAGACTTTCCCATAACACCATAAGGTCATATCTGATGGTGCTAAATACAGAATAAGAAAATTCTGACTCCTGTTGGTGAGAACCTGTTTTATTTACAATCCGTGGGCTTCTTCTCAAGGAGCATGGCCCCATTCAGGGCTGGCTCGACAGTCTTCCACAGCTTTGCTTAATGTCCCTGGGAACAAAGTGACAGAGTCGACCTCCGCAGGGGAGGCATCAAAGCACTTCGTTTTATTGTCTTTACACAATGACCTTTAATTAAACGAAGTATCAGTTTTTCATATTCAGAAGCAACAAAAAGATTGCTCTTTAAATAAAAGTATCGGAATAAAAAAGTGAAATGATTTTAAAAATTATTCGGTTTGCAAGAGAATGATACAAACAGATCGTTCAAAACACAAACACACACGTAACGCAAGTGACCAAAGTGACCAGAGCTTGAGAAACGTGTCCCTCCCGCAGCCCTTCCGACGGAGACTGACTCGCAGAGAAACTCCCCGGCTCGCCGCAGGACACACGCGAGCCGGTGAGCTCGCAGGTGGGGTGGAGCCGCGTGACCTGGACACACAGCATCGGAAGTCAGGGGGCCGGAAGCGGGCGCTTCTGATAACCAACCTACTCGCGGGAAGGATCCAAGGCACCGGCAACCTCGGGCAGGAGAGCTTACTGCACACGTCAGGGAAGCGGAAACCCTGCATTAAATTAAAGCCCAGCAGCCACCACCCGGCAGGTGTTTCTATGCTGAGGCCACGGCCCCTGCTAACAGCCCTCGACAGCCCTGCAGCAGGTGCAGGCACACCGATGTCCAGGGCTCCCAGTCCTCCTAGGACAAGCCCCCGGACTGAGACACAATTTGATCGGCCTGCTCAGGCCCCGCTCCCCTGACTGGACAGAGCTTCTGTGCCAAGCCACCTTCTAGGCTCCTGGTCAGCCTACTGGAGGCTTGCGCTAGGTGGCCAATCAGCTACCGGCAGTACGAAACTGCGCTCCCAGCCCTTAGCTGGACTGAGGTCCCTGCCTGTGGGTGCTGGGGAGAGCCGGTGGCCAGTGTCTGCTCCAGAGGGCAGGGAGCGGGGGTGCAAGCACTGAGGAGCAGGAGGGCAGCTGTGTGGCAGGGTCTGGACTGCCGCGCTTGGGAATGAGCTTCCCGCTGTACCCGCAGGTCTTCGCGAGTCTCCTCTTTGAAGACTCAAGGCACCAGAGGCCTCCAGTGAGGTGGGGGTGCCCGTTGCATGAAGCAACCTGAATTATCTGTGAATAGGAAAGATCCAGCCAGTGTCCACTGTGGGAGGCATTTGTGTCCGCACAGCATGGAGGATGCCTCGCCAGGCATTCTGAGTCCACAAGGAGAGACCCAAGGGGGATGTAAATGGACTCCCCTGGCCAGCTGCCTGGTGACCTTGAAAAAAGGCCCCTCCAGCGCTGAATCTCGAAGCTGCAGCATATTCAAGGAGATGTACCCCTCCAGGAGAAGCAGAACTGACACTGGAAGGGTGGGGAACTCATCACTCCGCTGAGAAGAAAGTGCACCCCAGGCACGGAACAGCCCATGCAAAGGGACCCCAAGTGGTCAGTAGGCCTCCTGGGAGGCTCCAGAAGCCAGTGTCTCAACACAATGCTGGAGGGGCGAGGGCCAGGCAAGGAAGTGGTGTGACGGCAGTGAAGAGTCACCGCAAGGTTTAAACAAGGGGCAGCGGAACCCCCTCTTTTGGAAGGAGACCCTGAGAACTATCCCTGAAGAGTAGCTGTGTGCTGGAGAAGGCGCCGGCTTCTCAGACAAAACAGGGGGTCTCCAAGACTGACAGGGGACAAGGGATTCACAGTGTCACCTCCCCTGCAGTTCCCGGTTTGGGCGGGTGGACCAGGGAGCAGCATTTGGGGTGGGAATTGAACCGCTCGAGCGTGCAGGGTTGGGTCAGATCCTCTGGGGAGACGCCTATTGTCTCAGCTGCAGACAAGCCTGAAGACTGTCCTGCACTTGGGACAGCAGTGGGCAGCCGCCTGCCTCCCCCCGTGGCCATCTCTCTACGCAGAGTGAGCTGGGTCTTGATCCTGAAGCTCTTGGAGGGACAGATAGACATCGGTGTTCATGGGCAGGCCGGAGGTGGGGACCCTGACCCCACCTTGCCCAGGAAGGTTGGCCCAGGGGAAGTCAGGCCTTTCCCCAGAATCAGGGGCAGGGACCTCATCTTCTGTGTCCCCCACAGGTGACTGAAAATCCACCAGGTCAGAGGTTCCTGGGCTGGGAGGCCCAAAAGGCTGGGGGACCCAGTCTCTGGGAACCCCTACCTGCAGGGAGGGGGTCAGCTTCTCTTCAGGAGCCCCAGTGCCCACTGGTACAGTATTCAGGGGAGCTGGGCCACCAGCGAGATTGGGGGAGAAGAGTAGCAGGTCTTCTCCAGGGGGGAAGGTGCAGTAGGCGTCGTCCTCCCCTGGCACATTCGGCAGGGCCGGGAGGGGACACTCCTGGGGGGCCCCAGGCTCGCCCTCGTCGGCCTCCTCTGTGCAAGGGTCGTAGGTGAAGTAGACCTGGCAGGCCTCGATCTCCAGAGCATCCGGGAGGTGGAAGAAGAAGTAGCCTTGGTTGGTGAAGCAGCTGGTCAGCGAGTGGCCACTGGGCGAGGGGGAGGGCACCTTGTCCTGCTGCAGCCGGAGCAGCTGCATGGGCTTGGTGTCCCGGTCCAGCACTTCCAGCGGGGAGATCTCAGGCTCCAGGCCGCCGGCGTGGAAGGAAGAGGACGGGAAGGGCGAGGAGAGCCACTTCTGCCAGGAGAAAGAGGGGGGGCCGTGAGTGGGACGCCAGGAAGCTGCCTTCTCCTCTCCTGCAGGCACGCAACACTGCCTCCTCTGGGAAGCCCTCCCTGACCACCCTCACCCCTGGCCCGGGCACGGCCTTGGCCACCATCTGGCGCAGCCCCAGGAGTGCACTTGCTTCTCAGTGCCCAGGCAGGCCTTCCTGGCCCCCACCAGCGCCGGCTCTGTGTGCGGCAGTGTGGGGTATACCTGCTATGAGCACGGTGCTGCTCGAGGTACGCAGCGAAGCGGGGAGCCCTGGTGTCTGGCCCAGCGTGCGAGTCACCCCCCAGGCCGACGCGGAAGGGCCCTGCCGGCCTGTCTCATTCACTCTGCACATGCCCAGGGCACAGAGCCGGCTCCAGAGGGGACCTCGGCTCCCCACCTGCTGCCATGCAGAGACCCTGGTGGGAAGCTTATGCCCCTCCCCTGTGCCCACTCCCTCCCTGCACTGAGAACCTGCCCTGGTCTGCCCCCCACCCCAGCCTTGTGACCCCAGGCAGCTCACTGCACCTCTGTGGGCCTCAGGGTCCACCACACTTGGCCTCCGCTTTCTGGGCGCTGTGCTGCAGGCCAGTAGGGAGCGGTCAGGTCGGAAAGTGAAGGTGGGATCCCAGCACAGGCCCCAGAGCATTAGCAGGGCCCCAGGGGGGTGGGGTGGGGGACTTGGGTGGAGCATTTGAGAGCCCCAACGGCCCTCAGAGCCCTCCCAGCCCGACTGGGGACAAGGGCCTGGGGCCCAATGAGTGCGTCTCAGATAAATGAATGGACCAGCGGAGACATGTCCTGCTTCTCCCTTCCGGAGCGCTGGGGGCAGAACCGTGATTTCACACGCACACACACAGTGCACACCCACACCCACACACACACATGAATGTCCACACACGCACACGCCTCACAGGAGAAAGTCCCAAAGAGAGCAGCTTGGGTAAACTGAGGCTGGCAAGGTAGGAAGAGCGAGGCTGATGGGGCCTGACACCAGAAGAGGTGGGGGCAGGGCCAGGCCCAGGCAGCAGCGCTGAGCCTGCGGACAGGAGAAGGGGAGGCCAGGCCTGCGGCTGGCACGCGTGTGCCAGGCTCCTCTGCCCCTCAGGCATATGTGGCCAACCACTTCCTGGACGTGGGCTTCTGTTCAAAAAGCAGGGGGAGGGGATGCAAGGAGGGCTGGTGCACACTCTCCCCAGGTCCTGGAGGTGCCAGGCCCTGCCCCCTGGGCTTCCCACCCGGAGCAGGAGGGGCCTCTTTGGGCAGCGCCAGCTCCACCCTGCCCCCCATCTTTGGATGCCCCTCCGCACCCCAAGTCTGGGCAGGCGTCTAGATCTAGGGTCACCTCTGGTGAAGATGGGGTCGTTCGCAGGTTTCCAGGAAGGACCCCGCTCTCACCCCAAAACCTCCTGTAACCCCCCCCCATTTCTGACTAGCCAGCCACGTCTTGCTTGAATGCCTCCGGGTGGGGCGCTCACCACCTTCTGGACTGCAGGAGGGATTTTACAGACGCGGGCTCCCTCATAGCGGCAGCACAACCGTGAGCTGTCCTAGTCCCGGGGCTTCCAAGAAATTCCAGCGGGGCCCTGATCAGCCCTAAGAACCCCAAGCCAGCTCCTCACAGCTCTGGCTCCACGTGTCCTCCAGCCTCCAAGCTGCTCCGACTACTCTCCACCATCTAGGGAGCCTGGGGTGGGGGCGGGGTGGGAGGGGCACCCCACCATATGCCCCCCTGAAGCTTCCTTCCTGAAGTGGGCGTCTGCTGGGGGAGGGGAGGCAACTTCAGGCTAGGCTCAGGGTGCAGCTGCTCTGAGGTGGGCCCTGGAAATGGGTCCGTTTGGGAACCAGCACTGTCCCCATAGCCGGTGCAGGGGAGACCATGGTCCACAGACGGACTGGCGCTGAGGGGCCATACGCGTGGCCACACTACCTGCCTCTCCACTTGATGGGCAAAGAAACAGAACACAGAGAGGTTCTACAGTTTGCCTAAGGTCACACAGCCTGAAGTAGAGGAGCTGGGATTAGAACCCAAGAGGCCTGGCTCAGACGGGAGGTGCCACTTAGCCTAAAACACAGGTGCCAGGCCGGGGAGGGCCCAGCCCGCTCGCTTTGTATTCTGTCTCCTCTGCAGGGAGCAAACCCGGCTCCTCGAGCACCCCCCACCCCACGCACTGCCACCCTGTGGCCCGCTGCCCTCCACACCAGGCCCCTGCAGATGCCCACCTGGAAATCTCCTCCGTACTCCAAGCTGAGCTGAGCAAAGTACTCTGACGGGTCTGGGATGTGGCACTTCAGAACCTTCTTCAGCCTGGACAGGGGAGAGGGGGGAGGGAAAGGGGTTAGACGGGAAGGGGCTATGGAGTCCTGCCCTGAACCCCTCGGCCTTGCAGCCGGGCACAGAGCCCCTCCTCACTCTCCCACTGTGCGCTCAGTCTCGGTCACTCCAGGAAGGTGCCGTCCTGGGCGCTGGGGACACAGGCAGCCCAGCGGAGGCCCTGCTCTCGGGAACTGACATTTCATGTGGAGACAGACACAAGTCACACGTGTGACACTGTTGTTCATGCCGGACCCAGCGACGCAGGGGGAGAGCGCGGAGAGAGGCGGGCGAGAGTGGCCCTTCCGGTCAGGGCCGCCGGGGGTGGTCAGGCGTGCGCGGCGCGTGGGCTGGGGCTTTTCTCTGGGGAGGGAGGGGACGGGGAGCTGAACTCTGGCCCACGCTCTGCTGGCTAACTTGAGCGCTGCCGCAGTCCTGTGCACCTGCCTCCGGACGTGCCAAAGCCCCAGGAAGCTGGCGGTGCCCCGGGAGCCCCTGCGCCAGCGCTTCCTTCCCCTGTCCGGCCTCCGGCCGCGCCTGGCTCCCCATTCTCTCCTTTCTCCTTCCCGGGTCCCTGTCCATGCCACCCCCTCTGTGTGCAAGGTACTTCCATCCCCTCCGCCTGGCTGGTCTTCCTTCAGATCTCGCTAGAAGGATCACGTCCTCAGGAATGTTTCTCGTAGCCACCCCTCCGCCGAGGCCCTGTCTGCTGTCTGCCCTGACACCCTCCTCCTGCCCGGGTGTGGACACGCGGTCCTCCCCGCCAGGCTGAGCCCAGAAGGGGCGCCCCTTGCCCCCACGCTGCCAGCACTCAGCGTGCCTGGCCCTGAGTGGGCTCAGTGAATAGGGGAACACGTTGTGGATGCCCAGACCCACATGGGCTTCGGGCGCCCCTGCACACACACAAGCGGGCACAGGTGTGCGCAGCCACACACATGCACACCCACTCACACCCGCGTCCTCCAGCTCTAGCGGGGTCTCCATGGGCTCCCCCCGCCACTCCCCATCTTCGGGGCGGGGTCCCAGGGAAGGTCCGGGGTCAGGCAGGCAGGGAGGCAGGGCCAGCAGGTGTTGTGCGCGGGGGTCCAGCCAGGACCTGGCTCCCAGGGGCACACGTGTCAAAGCGGAGCAGGAATGGGGGAGCTGCTTACCAGGGCCCGATGTAGTGGCAGTTGGCCAGCAAGTAGACCAGGATGACAAAGGACAGGGCGCCGCTCAGCCCCCCCACCACGTGGAACAGCCAAAGGTAGGTCCGGCGCTCCTTCCCCGGGGCTGCCCGGCGAGGGGAAGCAGGCGCAGCGGTTAGACAGGTGTCCCCACTCACCCCCATCCTGGACCTGTGCGAGGCACAGGTGACCTCTGACCCCCCCACAGGGTCACAGCTGTGTGCGGGTACCCCAGCCCGTCCTGGGTATCATGGTACCCACTTTATGGATGAGGAAACTGAGGCCGGAGCTTGAGGCCTCGGGGTAGAGAAAGTGAAAAGTCTACCTGACCTCCCACTGACCGACAAGGTCACGGCCCTGCCCCCACGGCCCTGTTCCATCTGCAGAGAAGGCACAGTAGCCCCGCACTGCCACCCTGCGGGGCCACAGCATGGGAGCTAAAGGTGGCAGGTGGCCAGGAGTGGGGTGGGCACGGCACCCGGCCGCCCCCCCCACCCTCTCCCCAGAGCCATGCCTGCACCCTCCCTCTACCTGTGGGCCTCGTCCTGAAGGGCAGGGGCTTGCTCCAGGGGCTCCAGGTTGTGTTGGAGCCTTGCTCGGGCTTGACGTGCACCTGGAGCTCATACGGGGTGTCGGGAGCCAGAGGGTCCAGGAAGATCCACTGCTGGTTCTGGTTGATAGGCCGCAGCTTGACCTCCTGGCGAGAGACAGGCTGTCAGGGCGGGTCGCCCCCACCTCACCTCCCGTGCGGGAGGCGGGGCTAAGCGGCCACACCCCCTCAGCTGTACCCCATCCCACCTAGGCTCCCTGACTACCCAATGGCCGCCACCCCAAGCCCCAGGACCATGACCTTGAGCCTCCTCTCTTGAGCGGTCAAGCTGCCCACCCCTGGCCCCCACAGCACCTACACAGCCCCCAGAGAAGCCCTTCTCCTGCCTCCTCCCCTCCGCACCCCTCCTTACTGTGCCCTGCTTCCCAGACACACATTAGCCTCTTGCCCATACAGTAGTGCTTCTTCTATTGGAAACCCCCCCGCGGCCCCCACCCCCATCTCTGCAAGGTCAGCTTCTCCTCGGCCCTCAAATTTCAAGCAGCTTTCCCTGGTCACCTGGGTCGGGGGGAGCCTATCCCAGCCCCTCAAAAATGCATGGTGGCATTTCATTGTCTTCATGGGCCTTGTGGACTTCTGCACCCCCAGCCTGTCTGCCCCTCTCCGCCCCTGTGAGTTCCCTGAGAACAGGTGCGTCACCTGCGCGGCACCTTCTCGCAGCCGCCAGCACAGGGTACCAGCACAGGGTACCGGCGGTGTTGATGGGCGGCTGGGCGAGCAAATGCACATGAGCACATGACCGAAGGGGCCCCTGGACCTGACCATGGGGAGGTGGCTTCCTGCACCTGTCCTACCGAAACGCCAGCCCTGGGCCTGACACGGCCAGAGCCCCTGTGGCGTAGGGGGCATGTGAAGAGAGGGAGGCAGGGACAGACAGTAGAGGGGTGGGGGGCTGCTTGGGGTCCCTGTGACCTCACCAAGAAGGAGGATGGACACGCAGCCAGGCAGGAATCCGTCAGGGCAGGCTGGGCCCGGGCCAGATACTCACCTCCCAGCTCTGGCCTGGAGACCTCAGCCGGACCTCAAACACCAGGTGTTTTTCGAGGTAATGGGAGGACTGTGGGACCTTCCAGGTGACATTGCAGCTTTGGGAGTCTTTGCGAGTAACTTGGAGGGAGTTGGGGGCCATCATGCGAACTGAGGAGGGAGACACAAGAGGAAGGCTTGGGGCACACTGACGCAGAGATGATAAAGCTGAGATGGGCGAGCCCCCTCCTCCGCCTCTGCTCCCCATCACGCCCTTGCCCCAGAAAACCTCTGTCAAATACCCCCTCCTCCTGACCACCCACCACTCTATCTCCTCCCATAGCTTATTTTTCTTCCCACCACTTAGCACCACCTGGCATATCAAATAGCGATTTTTGAGTCTTCGTTCCTTTTCTGTTACCCCTCCAGTCTGTAAGCTTGCTGAGGGCAGGGCTTTGTTCTGGGATGCCCCCGAGATGCCTGGAACATTGCCCGGCATGTAACGGGTGCTTGATACATAGCTGCAGAGTGAATGGATCAAGACAGGCTTTCTCGGCATGAACTGGAGCGTTTGACATGGATTATTCCAATGTAATTTAATGGGATCTCCTTCATCCCCTCTGAGTATGCAATTGTATGGAATTAAATTGAGATGTTTTTATAATTCGGAGACTGTAGAACTCCCTGGGTAACGCTAAGCGAATGCTCCTGGAACACGTGCTAAAGAGCTTCAGTCTGGGCTCATGGACTCCTTTCAACAGTGGGTGCCGCAGTAACTGATTATCCCCATTTTGCGGACGGGGAGACCGAGGCGCCGACACGCTAGGGATCTGCCCGCCGGGGGACGCTCAGTTCCTGCAGGGCAGCGCTGCGTTTAGAGCCCTGCCTGGGCCTGGCCGTCTGCCCCATGTCTTCCCTAGCGATGGCCCCTGGGGCCTGCAGGAGGTCAGAAGGGCAGGGGTGGGGCCGGGCGCTCAGTCCCGGCAAACCTCCCTGAGCACTGCCTAGACCAGGTTTGCATATAGGTGCTCAGCATGGAGACACGGAAGGCAGACTCCTGCCCACAGCAGGCCGCTCACAGCCCACAGGGGGACAGACAGAGACAGCCAGGGCATGCACAGAAGGAGGCGGCACCCAGGGCCGCGGGAGCCTGGAAGGCCGACTACAGCCGGCGAGGGGCTTTTCCAGGCGGGAAGAACCTTGCAAGCAGGGCAAAGCCTGCGTGGAGGAGCTCAGAGGAGGGATGGGTACCCTGAGCTCAGAGATCCAGGCTGCGAGAGGACTGCTGGGAGGCGGGGGGAGGCTGAGTGGCCCAGCGTGCCAGGGACTGGAGCACGCAGGAGCCCAGGGAACGACGGGAAGGCTGTGTCCGCCCCGTCCGAGCCCCACCCAGAGCCCTCACTCACGGTTCTCGAAAGGTTTGAAGAGCTGGCTCAGAGCCGTCCTCCACAGCTCCCCATGGCGGCACATCACCGTCAGGTTGAGGGTGTCAGCCGCCGTCAGACTCTGAGACTCCTAAGGGAAGAGAGCAGGGAGGTAACAGAGCAGCCGAGCAGGGAGGGGAGGCCTGGGGATGAGGACGGGCGGCAGGGAGACATGAGGGTGGGGAGGCCCATATGGCACAAAGGTGGCCAGCTGAGGCAGGGTTGGCACGTTTTTCTGCAAAGGTTCAGCTAGTCAATTATGTTGACAGGCCCTGTGGATTCAGTCACAACTCACCCCCGCTGTTGTCACGGGATACCAGCCATAAACAACACGTGTGCCACTAAAAGTTTATTTATAAACACAGATGGCAAGGCGAATCCCACCCCCCGGCCATGACTTTGCCAAGCCCTGTCTGACGTGAAATGAGCTGCCCGGCGGGAGGAGGCTGCAGGTGAGCAGAGAGCTCCCCAAGAAGGGACAGGCCCCCAATGGTACCTGCTCAACAGCTTGCAGGCTGAAATGCAACAACTCTTCCCAGCCCCACACTGACTATTCTGGAAGGAAATGCCAGGCTGTGAGCCTCCCCTGTGGGGAGGCCCTGCCCTCAGCATCCCTCTGGCTGGTGTGCGCTGCCCCTGAGAAAGCTGGGGCTGGTTGGTTGAGGAATTTGCCCAAGTCAAGCTCCTGGTCACCTGGGAAGGGAGGCTCGAACCCAGGCCTCTGTACCCAGGCTCCACAAAGAGACAGCAGCCCCAGCTCAGCAAGCCTGCGGGGAGGGCTGGGTCTGGGTGGGGTTTTGGGTCCCAGGCACAGCCTCTCTGGCCTGCTGCAAGCCTCTCTCAGAACAAACCTTGAACCTGATCATCCAGGTCCGTCAGTCAGGAAGCAACCCCTCTCCCGGCCTGGCCCAGACTTCTAGCTGCTGTGGGCAGATTCTCCCAGATAACAGTAATGCCGTCACCCCACTATGATACTGTTGTCGCAGAGATGGTGTCCGTGATCTGCCTGCTGGCGCTCCCCCTGTGCCAAGCCCTGCCCATATACTATTATTTGCTCTTGCCAGCCCATGAGCCGGCACTATTCTCACCCTACAGCAGAAGAGGCTGAAGCACAGAGAGGCGTAGGGACTTGCCCGAGGTCACACAGCAAGGAAAATGTGGAGCCAGAATGTGAGGTCAGTCGGTCTGCAGAGCTCACGGGACAGACCCAGCACATAGTCCAGGGCCTGTGCCTGGAGTCCAGGCCTTTTGGACCCCTGATAGATCAGCCACACTGTGTGACCCATGTCCATTTTCTCCTTTTAGAAAGCCTCAAACCTGGGGTTGGCAGCACAGATACGGCCTGGGCATCCCTGGTGAAGGCAGGTTTGACAGACAAGGATTCGCTGTGTGCCCCCATGGACATGCCCCACGCCCTTCCCAAGGCAGCCTGGTGCAAGGGTGGAAGGTCGGGGTTCAAAGCCAGCTCCGCCGCTCCCTGGCCGTGCGACCTCGAGCCGCGACCCCATGTCTCTGAGCCTCAGCTTCCTCATCCATGAGAAGGGGGGCCCGGCGCCCACCCAGTCACAGGGATGTGTTTAACAGCAGCACGTGTGCTCTGAGTAGCTCTCAGAACAGCCCTACGAGGTGGGCGCCCAGCTCTGCCCTTCCAGGGAAGGGAAGCCGGGTCACGGGCGTGGCCTGGCGCCCACCACTGCTCGGCCCTGGAGCGGAGGCCGGAGCCCAGTCCGCTCTGGAACCCGCTCTCGCCGCCCTCCCGCCCTTCACTCGGGAGACCTCAGGACCGGCTGGACATGGGTACCCACCCGCCTGGTTTGGGGCACAGAAGTGTCACAAGGGGCTGTGTCCCCCGCAGCCGGGGGAGATGTGTGGAGCAGAGACAGGTGCCTGGGGCTGCAGGGAGCCGGCCCCTGGGGCACACCTGGCCTCATTTCTGGCCTTGGGACCTGCCCTCCTCCCTCCGCCAGCCCTCAGGCCGTGTGGGCCCGGCCGCCCCCCGCTGCCCCTGTCTCACCCCCTTTCTCACAGCGCCCCTCCCCTCAGTACTCACATCATCATCTCCCAGGTGCAGATTGCAGGCCCAGGAGGCCTCCCCGGCCCAGCGCAGGTCGCAACACTTGCTCCATGTCCTTCCAAGGCAGAGAGCCTCCTCAGGAGGGAGGAAGGGGGGCCAGCCCCAGGCCCTTCTCACACCCTCCGTGGGCCCTGGGGGTGGCCGGCGAGGCCGGGCAGCGCACGGCTGTGTAGGCCTTGCCAGCCCCACACGGGCTCTCGGCTCCTCCCCTCACCCCCACCCTCTGGCCGCCCCGCCCCAGCCCGGTGCCACGGCAGCCTGGGCAGTGTAGAAGCTCAAACCAGGCCAAGACACCAGCCGTGTCCTGAAAGCCTCGCGTCTCTCCACAGGATGGGGGGTGCAGACCTGGAATCACCCCACCGCCTGATGCCTTGGAGCCCAAGATACGGGATTTCATGAGCCTAAAAGCCCGGGATTTGCCGATCCCGCCGTCCCGAGAGGCCGTGGCGTCCCCAGGCCCCCACGCACCGTTTGTCCGACTTGGCGTAGATCCGGCAGGGCGAGGCCTGAGGGCCCCCAGGCCGGCTCCAGACGCAGGAGATGTTGGCCTTGGAGTTGTAGAAGCATGAGAGCGAGGAAGGGCCTGCAGGCAAAATGAAGGGGTGGCTGAGGGTTCCCGACCCTGGCTTTAGCACCCCACACCACCAGAGGGAGAGGTGAGCAGCCCAGTGGGCAAGGGAGGGGTGAGTGGACCCGCTGCAGAGAGGAGGAGGCTGGGCCCGGAGCCTGTGAGGCCCCTCAGGCAGCCCGAGGCAGCCTCGCCCACAGCCGGGCAGGGCGAGGCTGGGGGCTCCTGGGCTCCCGCCCATGGCGGCTGGCCCCCATTTCTGCGCCTTCTCCCCTCGTAAGGGGCCTGCAGCCCAGAAGCAGGGGTCCGCGAAGGGATTCTGGAAGAGCCGTGGCCTCCACCCTGAGGACAGCTCAGCTGCCCGGATGTCAGGTCCTCACCAGTCACCGCCGTGGACGCCTGCAGGAGGACCAGAGCCAGCAGGAGGAGGGACAGTCTCCAGGGCAGCGTGGGAGCCGCCATCACACCCACTGGGAGGCAGCAGGGAAGGGAGCCCTGAGGTAGGAAGCAGGAGAGACTCATGTGAACGCCCCCCAGGCGGCCGCCGGTGCCCAAGGGCCTTTGCGCCTGCCCGGGCTCCGCCCCCCGACCCTCAGGGGCCCGCACACCCTCGGAGCTGGCAGGTTCCTGAGCAAGCCCAGGCCTTTCTTAGGGACACTGAGGCCCAGAAGTGGAGGCGTCTGCTGTGCCCACAGCGGGGAGCTGGCACAGACCCGCCTCCGCTCTCCTCTGCTGAGCCCTCAACCCCACAAAGACCCTCCTCCAGGGTGACGCAAAGCCACGCTCTACTTGAAACTCTTTAAAGGCAGCAAGGGAGTGTTTTTTAAAGAGTTTCAAGTTTCTACTTGAAACTCTTTAAAGGCAGCAAGGGAGTGTTTTCTCTCTTCTCCACTTTCAGACGAAGCCGCGGCCATGTGGGATGGGAGCCGGAGCAGTTGCCTGAGCCCGGCAGCCCCTAACTCACTGCGTCTTCCCACGATGGTGACCGCTCTGGTTATGCCAGCATCGGGCCCCAGGGTGCGCTGGGCACTAGGCTGTGCCAAGCACCTTAGCACAAGAGCGGCGGGGTGGTGCCGCTCTTATACAGATGAAGACACTGAGGCGCCGAGCCACTCACCAGCCAAGGTGACACGCGTGGCAGGTGCGGAGCTGAGGCTCCTGCCCCCAGCGCCACCCCAAACCCTGTCCCAGGCACAGCCTCATGCCCCGGGTCCCCACCCAGCGGGGCACCAGGCCAATGGCCCACCCAGCCTCCTCCTCTTGATCCCCTGAGCCTGCCAGCATAGGCCCTAAGGTGTGCAGACAGACAAGGGGCGCTCAGCCAGCCCCCACCCCGTGCCCAGCCATGCTCGAAGGTGGCCCTGGGCACAGGCGCTGCCGGTCCCTTCCAGGGTGAGGCCCCGGTCAGGCTGGCCTGGCCAGCAGAGCAGCCCATCCCAGGACACAACTCTGGGGGGTGAGGGGGGAGGAAGGAGCAAGATCCAGGAAGGTCAAGGCGAGACCCCGAGTCCCCGAGGTGAGTGGGGCCGGAGCAGCAGCCGGAGCACGCGACCCCCCCCCCCCACTACCGGCTGTCTATGCCCAGGGGGTGCCTGGAGATGGGGGCTGGCGCTGGCGGGGCTCAGGGCTCTCTGAGGGCACAGCTGCCGGCAGAGAGGGAAACCAAGTCTCAGAGAGGTTGATGAAACTGCTCAGAGTCACACAGCAAGTCACAGGCCCAGCCTGGGGGGCCCGAGCGAGACCCCAGAGTCCGGAGCCCCCCGCCGGTTCTCACCCCACCCACACGCGTGGCTGCCTTGCCTGCAGGCTGACTCACTGGGGCCCACGGCCCACTGGGTGGGTGTCGCTGAGGCCGGGGCTGCTGGGGGCTGCCTCAGACTCAGATTTCAACCGAAGAAGGAAAAGGAGGAGATGGGGAAGCAGGGTGGTGTGGGGCGCCGTGGGGGAGGAGGAGATGACAGCAGGGTGACCGTGACAGTGACAGCGCGGGATGACTAACACCCCTACTCCCGGCTCGGCACGCTGAGGCCCCGGGGTGCTCTCGCTCCCGAGTCAGCACAGCGCCCCAGCGGCAGCTCCTGTGATGAGTATGGGACTCCCGCTATGACTCGACCAACATTTTCTCAGACGGGGAGAGAGGTGGGGAGTCTTTACTCAGGCCGTGCTAGAGCTGGGATTGGAACCCAGACAGGGGCAGGCTGAGACCCCCCACTGGGGCTGGCCTGGGGGTGCTAGTCATGAGGCGGACTGGGGGTGTGGAAACAGCAGCTCGTGCGGCCCCAGCCTCTGAGCGTGATGTTCCCCCAAAGTGCCTGGACACGCCACTGACCTGCCCCTCGCGCTCGCAGTCACACAAGGGAACGGCCGGGATGCAAGCCCGGCCCTCGAGGGACAAACGCCCTCACTGCCAGGCCGCAGGGGCCCCTGCTGTCACAGCCCCACACCTCGGGGGCGCACTTCGCCCAGACGTCAGCAGGCTCTCCTTGCACCCCACCAATGGCCTCCCTCCTCCAGCCCAGCCACCCCCTCACCCCAGAGAGCCCCCAGCCCTCCCTGGGGCAGGCTAGGACTGGAGACCAGCTGAGCTCAAGCCAGGAGCCGGGACACTGGCCTGCCCCCCGGAGACTGACTTGCCCCCCGCCCCCGCCGTGGGGTTTCTAAGAGAAGTTTGGGGTGAGGGCCTGGAGATGGACATTCAGACCAGCAGGCCGAGGGGCTGATTCCGAGCCTCCCTCCAGTCCCCTGGCTGGTGGCAGCTCCCAGGAAAGAACCCAGGTACCACACAGGGACCAGGCTGGGGCAGGGGGCCAGCGAGCGGGGTGTCACCTGGCTGGGACATGGGGCTGCAGCGCGCGCTCTCTGGTTGTCTCCGACGCCGGGACTGCGGCCATCTCCCCGGGGCCCCACTCTGGTTCTGACCCAGGCAGCAGATGACTGATGGGGTCGAGACTAAAACCCTAGGGCCAGCCCACTTCCTGTGCAGAGGATGAAGGGGTAAGGCTTGAGGGGGGAGGCAGGAGAACACACTGGTGAGCTTGAAAGTACCTAGGGACCAGATAAAGATCTCCCTCCTCCGCTTGGGGGGCTGGGGGGCACCGTGGGTGTTGTGGCAGCACAGGCAAGCACAGTCGCTCTCAGCCAGATGCCCTGCGGCACGCAGGAGCCTGGGGAGGAGTCCTCCTGCTCCCTCCTACACCGCCAGCCCTTCTTGCACAGGCTACCTCAGCCTCCAGCACCCTCATCCCGTCCCACACCCCCCCCCGGGGGCCCGGGCTTCAAACCCCGTTCCGGGGGTGGCCCCGGCACGCCTGGCTCGTATCCCGCCGTTTCTCCCAGCCACCTCTTCACCCAGCCTTCCAGGAAGCTCTTTACTCCGTGAGGCATTCAGCGTGACTTTGTTCCAGGCTTTGGGAATAATCTGTGAACTACTTGTTGAACGTTCTAGAACCTGCCTCTTCCTCTCAAGTCATGGTTCCAAGTCTGTTACTCCTGGGGGGGGGGGGAGGGCGAGAGGATCAGCTCAGGATTTCTGGTGTTTATCTCACCGAGGAGAGGTGCAGGTTTCCTCACTGCAGGGAGGGAGGCTTCCTCCCGCTGGCCCTGCCTTCACGCCCGCTTCGGGGGCGGCGTCTGGTAAGCTGCTGAGTCTGGAAGCAGGGAATGCCAAGGGCAGGAGGCACGTGCAAAGCCCCGCGGCGCGGAAGCGAGAACACGGGGTGAAAACCCTGCAAGCGGGTCATCGGGCCCAAGGTCTTACTGAGGGGAAGGTGAGCGCAGGTCAAAGCTGCAGAGACCAGCAAGCCCCACCCCAAGCCTGCGGAGGCTGAGGGCCTGACCCCTGGGCATCAGCATGTCTGCCGGCGAGTGGGGCCCGGGGGGATGGTCCGGCAGGCGGGTCAGGGGACGAGACCACAGGAGGCTTAAAGCCCCCCAAAAGTTGGCTGGCAGTGACCCCAAGTCCCTTCTCCCTGGAACCAGGCTTTCTGGCGGCCAGAGAGGGTAATAAACAGAACCACTTACAAAACAAGAACAGGCAAGATTTACTCAGCCTGCGGGAACCTCTCACAAAACCAGAAGGCCGGCTGTCCAGGGAGGCCTGCTGGACAAGGAGCGGGCAGGACGGCTCCCTGTGGACGTGATTGTGCCAGATGGGCCTGTCTCCTGCCTGCGACGCGAGCTCCGCTAAGACTGCGCAAGGCGCTTGCGGAGAGAACACTCTGCCGGCAGGCCGGACACTGGGTTTGCAAGGAGCAGCGGCTGCAGGCGGCACAGCCACAGGAGGGCGCGGGCTTGCCCGGCGCGCATACCCGAGGCTCTTCTCCTGTCCCTCCAGCTTTCATTCATCGGCAAGCCTGCCCTGAGCACCAAGGGGTCCCCATGGCCAGGCTGGGCACAGAGGAGCCGGAGGGGCCAGTCCTGAGAGCAGTTCGCTGGCTGGGTCCCAGACGGAGGCGGAGGAGGGGTGACTCCAGCTGGCCACCACCTGGAGGGGGTCAGGGGGTGGTAGTGCAGCCTCCACCAACTGACAGGGGAAGGGGCAGCCCCCCCACTCCAGGCCTGGGGTCCTGCTTTTGAGAAGGACACCTCAGCTCGAGAGGCAGAGTGGGCTGGGCTGAGCTGAGCTGAGCTGAGCTGGGAAAACATCCTCAAATCCTCCACTTAAAACCCACCGCAGGGGCAGAAGTTTGGAGGTACACAACGTGTCCCCACTGTGCCCCATCCTCTGGGGCATCAGCTGGACGCCATCCAGGCACACAGGGCCCCCATTTCCACTCCTAATGCCCTCCAGTCTCTCCCCCAGCCCAGCAGCTGGAACAATCGTTCCCAGGCCCAAACCAAGTCCACCCCCACCTTCTGAGACACCCCCAGACCCAGGGCACTGGCAGCAGGCTCCAGACTCCCCTCCTGCCCTGGCGCTGGCACCCAGCCAGACCGAGCGCCCCACCAACCAGCCTCTTCATTCCCCCTTCACGGGCAGGGTAGCGAGGCTTCACACGTCAGCCAAACAGCAGGCTCAGAACCTGAGCCTGGCTGACAGAGACACCAGATACTGTCTGAGGTGAGCTGAGGAGAATCCAGAAGCTTCTCTCATGGCAGGGGCCCGAGAGATCATGCAGGCCTGCCCGGACCTGGCCTCAGGAGTTACAGGATTGGGCCAGCCTGGCGGGCACCCTCCACTCCCAGCACCCGAACGGCCGTTCCTACAACTGCCCCCTGCAGCTCCACGCCCCCCGGGCCCTCTGCGCCGTGATCTTGGGGAACCGGCGTCCCTGCACCTCGGCTCTGTGACCAGGGCTCAGCTGCCCCTGAAGCTGACCCCCCACCCAGGGTCCTCACTTCCGGGGTCGGCAGGGCCCAGGTCCTCTCGGGGCCTGCTGGCTCTGCGTCCCTCCTGGCCGTGACCTTTTCGCTTGCCCATCTCAGGGCTTGTCACATGTGGGGGTCAGGCCAGATCCCCTGTC